GGTTACAAGTGCATCACCTAAATAAATGAAATTAGTGATTTCATCCTTTACTGCTTTTAACGTTTTAATAATTTACCTTTCAATAGATCTCTTATTCATAAGATTATGTGAAAATATAATTTAACACTGTTGCCATTCTTTTAAAAACTTCCGCACATATGTTCTTCCAGCATGGAAAAAAGTTGAGACATCACAGAATTTTTACATATCACTTTTCTTTTTTTGATTGAGATCATGAACCGATTGACGTTAGACCACCATCGAAAACCTGGAAGCACTGGACGGCCGTCCCGTCCTATTGTGGGACTCCTCAGTAGTGCGCATCCACGACCCCGCTCGCGGGATTCAAACCCAGGGCCATCAGTCTCGCACGCGAACGCTTAACCTACTGGACCACTGAGCTGGCATCCAATGGTGTTAATGTCTAACCTCAACATATCAGTTTTCTTTTCCTTACACCATAAATAATTTTTTCTTAAAAAAAAGCACTGACAATCATCATTATTTTGATGTTCAGTTAACATCATGGACTGTAGGGAGGCTATTAGTTAGTAATTAATAGAAAATTTGACAATTAAAGTATATTAAAACACTTATTGATTCATTTTGTACTAGTTACTTCACAACTATTTTATAGTTGCTTACAATATTTTTATAACAAAATGGAATCAGTTGACAAGTAAATTAATCAATATTGAAGATCAGTATGTTTAACATTTTTGTTTTTCCAGTATTACGCGCCTACATACAATTAAACTTTAGTGTTATCATATGAATCTGATCTCATATGTTTTTTAATGTTTACTTCGGCAAACTTAAACTGTTTATCTGTTTATATCATATATATTAACATTACGTTATTTAACCTTAGAAGCCAGATTTCTTTTTTTACTGAAAACATTTCATTTAAGAGTAATTTGAAATTATTTGATACTGTAATATTGAGGCCTTTTAATATTTCTCTTAGAAAGCAACATAATATGGTTAATTTATCAGCCGATCCAAATTAAAACTAAAGTCAATAATGTAACTAAATTCAGTAACTGAAATATTGTGATTATTTGACTAGTTACAATTAATCCAAGTCACATAAAATAGATTACGTTTGAAAAAGTCAAATCTTGAAACCAATGTGCTTAAAAACTTTTTGGATCAAAACACAATTGTCAAACAACATAACAATTATTTTCATGTGTAAATTTCAGTATTACAGTTGAATTTTGTAGATTTCTCTAGCAATCAGAACATATTGTCCCGAATAAAGTAATTAGGAGATGTAACAAACGAGAAGCCACCACCTGTTTGGATGTAAAATATTAAATAGGTTGGAAGGGAACCAGGTATTATCAAACCAAGATTTGGGATCGGTCGGTGTAATTAATTGTAACACTGAGTCGTGTTTGGAGTTAAAGATTTCCTGCTTGGGGTCCTAGAGATAATCGTAACCTATGGTTGGAGACACTATATGATATTGGCTCAAAATTGATGATAAGGGCAAAAATGTTTACATTCATTTTGCTTTAAGCTCTGAATAATAACAAAATTTCTAAGTTTTAATTTGCTCTTTTCGAACAATATTCTTTCTATTTATTTAAGACCCATCTGATTCTACTGTTTCGATTTTTGGTCTTCATCCTACATATTTCTTGTATTCTACAAGCTGTAAAATATGGTATCTTGGGTCAGTGTTTATCCGTCCTGCAATGTTTATGACTTACATTGAAAACCTGTTAATTGAAGATATTTATGTACACAAAGACAGGATTAGATCAGCATATTATATGAAATGAAATTTGCCAATGGAATAGACCTAAAGCTTTAAAGATATTCTGTTCATTGAAGATATATGAATCTATGTCGCTAGGTACTACTATTAAGGATATCATAGCTGAACTATGTGACGAATAGTATAGCTTGGATAATATAAAATTCAAGAAAAATAAATAAAGTGAATATTCAATTTAGTTTCAAATAAAAGAAAATTATGCCTAATTATAATAAGAAAAAAATCATAAGTCACTTTATTTACTTTTGTTTTGATGGTATATCCATCACATCAAACTTTCAGATTCTACACAAAATAGATCTATCAATCTGTAGATATTCGTCGAAATATGAAAGTGACACACCTTAACTCCTGGCTGGGTAAGTAATACATTTTAAGGAGACACAACATGATCTCCTAAGGAATTGACTATTTTTTCAGTAACTGAAATTATTTTCACTATAACCTGTTTGATTTCTTCAAAGTTTACTCACCGAATAAATAATACAGTTAACTTTTACTTAGTTAAACGATACTATCTTATATAATATTGTGGTGTGCGCTATTTATATACATATACATAGTATATAACGATAGTCAGGAATAAAATGTATTTCAGTAGCAGATCGAGAACGGAAAACAGTTGGTATGAAAATGCAGAAACAATGAAATCTGAGACGATGGAATAATATCTCCAAAAGAAACAATCAAGTTTGAGACTGCGGACTGATATTTTGCAAATTAACTATTCACATTATGGTTCTCAGATTTTAATGAGATATTCTGTAATTTCGCGTTCGAATACATTCGATTGCCCATACTCGTGTTCATGTTCACTACGATATGTAATCATTTAATCTATTTGATTAGAAACTACTTGATTCAATATCAAGCTTTTTTTCTTAGTAAATAATACTTCGTTTCATTGTTTTATTGTAAATTTCGTTTTGATGTATAACTGTTATATATATCATCAAACGACTAGTGGAATGCAACGACATATTGATTTGAGTAAATTCCATTATTTCCTTTCATCTTAATTAATTAATCAATAAGTAATCAAGAAAATGTTTCACTTTCTGATTAAAAAAATCACGAGTCATTGTCTTTCATAAGTTCATTATTTCATAAGAAAAAGTAACTAAGTAATTATATAAAAAGTCATCATTACTGTTATGTACGTAATTCATCTAATTATGCATAAATCTATTTACTGAAATTCAAATTACATTGATATTATAACAATTATACATCATCACTCGACTACCTATGAGTGAAATAAATTGTATAACAGACTGATCAATTGCAGTCTTAAACCTCAATGGGAAGATACAAGCCAAATAATACCAAGTGAATTGCATAATAGTGTTATTAAGGTATAATTGGTTATATAATTATACCTTTCAAATCTTCTATCTCTAAATCAGCTTAATTTTATATTATTTCATCTAAATATAACTGAAAAATATCCTTTAGTAATTAAAGAGTAATAAAAAAGGAAGTTTAAGGCTAGGAATTTAGTATTTTAAGTTCTAATCATTTAGTTATGATCATTCAATTAGTCCTCGAAAATCATACAATAAATAATTTTGCTTGAAATGATCATAGTATCAGTTTCAGTTCGACAAATTCAATTTCTCAGTCTTCTTTGTTTCAAAGTTTAAATTTAGAGACTTCAGAAAGTACCATGACAATGAGTTCTAAAATTTTGAATTTGTGTAATTCCTTTTTTATATGTAAAGATTCCCCGGTATATACTCAGGAATTTTTGTTTTCTAATGATTTGATAATATAAAGAAAGTTTTTCCTTTAATGAGTCAAATTTCTTTAATGTAAATAAGAAACTACACAGTACCGAGTATATATCAACGAAGACCATTCATTTTTGTAGGATTAAAAGTGTGATATTTAAAACTCATGACCAAATGATAATCATTTCATTCTGGTCTTAGATACCTCAACGAGGCACACTTAAGGTCCTGGCAGAGACCGAATCCTTAGCCCTTACTGATCATATAGACCATAATAAATTTAAACTGTGTCGAGATCAAATGATCGGTATATTTAGATTTGGTTGATTTGTGATATAAAACTACAATTAACATATGTTATTGATATTTGTTTCAGTTAAAACAATACAAAGTGGTCAGATTAAAAATAATTTATTTCGTCAGTTAAAATTCAGCTTAGTTCTTCTCTATTCGAATAAATCATTTCTTATATTTTTAATTGATATGTTGCATGACAGTAGATTGTGAATTGCCATTGAACGAAGCCAACTTTGTTACATGTGAATACACAATTAATATTGTGAACTCCCATGTATTGATGAATTCTGTTCTAGATTACACGGTGTGTGAAGTGATTGGAATTATGACGATAAATTATCTAGTTGAAACTATTCCTCAGTCGTGTCCACTGAAAATTATGTATATGGATACCAAAGGTATAGTATAGTAGTCTAATACCCTTATTTCGACTGTATTATTCTTGTGCTAAGATTGTGTTATGTTATGTCAAACAACGATTATTCATTTAATTGTTCTTTTATCACTATTAAGATTAGATTTTTTCTAAAAATGTCTCATACTTTGAGTAACAACTTCTGGGCTTTTAGGCGTTTCGTTGATGTATACTCAAAAGTTTGGTGTGAATTGATTTTTTCTGTATGTTAAGTTTAAGATGAATGACACTAATTGTTAGGAGAATTATAAATAACCTTTCCTATTCATGCACGTTGATTTATCAAAGAAACAGATGAAAACAATGTTAATTAAATCCTTTTCTATTGACACATTTGGTCCACCACAAACGATACGTGACCTGATATGGATGTGTATCGACAAGTGTAACCACATTTTTCATCAACATAGCAAGAGAAGTAACTTGAACAATACAGATGAAAAGGTCATGAACGCAATGATATCGATCAAAGTAGAGGTCTAAACGTAAGAAACATAATTCAAAAGGGACAAATATGATCAAAAAATCAAAGTAGAAAAAACAAAACTGAACTCAATTTTTAGGAAAAGACAAAAAATGAATATAATCAAATAGATTTTTGGCAATGATACTCCATGTTTCCATCTATAGGTTGCAGTTGTCATACAAATGCCAGTTTCGAATTTCGGGATTATAGTTATACCACCATATAACATTCAATGACTGATGGACTGATAGTGTAGTCTAAAACTCACTCTAGTGTATTTTTATTATAAAAACTAAATATTCTTACTTTTGATACTGGCAGAAGACCGATTAAATACTTCTGGTTTAATTGGAATCGGTTGTAAAGCTGATAAAACGTTGAGCTTGTTTCCTTGGTGATACAGTTGCTGTGGTAGCATCGGTGATTCCGTTTGTTGTTGGTGTTGGTAAATGCCTTCAGAATGAAGAAGTTCAGTTAGACTTTGTGTGACATCCTGTATTTGTGTGTAGGTCGCATATTGTAATTTGGGTCCAAATAATTTCTTAACAACTGGAGTAGTGCCTAGTTTAAATGTAGACGGTGTAACACACTTTGATAATAAATTTGCAACATTATCATAATCGCAATTGCCAGAATCATTTACAAATTTATCTGGCTGTTTGAAAACAGTTGGTTGATTTCTAATATTAATGCTGAACTGATTTTGCACGGGTCTTTTATTGGTATTACACTTATTTTCTTCTGAATATCCATAATGTAGACGAAACCAACAGGCTTTCGGATCGTCGTTAACATTTTGATTTGTGTTAGGATTAGAAGTAATTAAATTTTTCTCAAATTTCATTAAACCTTCCTGTTTATTTACTTCAGATTGCGTAGATTCAAATTCATAAGCAGACTAAAAATGAGAACCAATAATAGTAGCAATAATAATAAAATCGTAATTTCAACACTTCACAGTTAAAAAAAACACTGACAATAGGAATGCGTAACATGGGAAGATTATAATTTATTTAAAAAACGTACTGCATTTCTAACCAGTACAGTGAATCTGTGTTTTAGATGGTTTCGATTTCAATGATAAATAGTAATATGTTGATGAAAACTAGATTCAAAAATACTGAGTTGCTATTACACAGGACAAATGTTATGACTAAATGCCTCAAATCATTAGTATTCTAAACAGTAAATAAAAGATTTAAGACCTAACTTTTCTAATTCGATCTAAAAACTTATATTGTGCAGTGATAGCCAGAATTCGAGGACATAGTTCCTCTTATTTCCCACGGTTTAGAAGACATTTATTTATTTGGTAGTCATAAAAATGTTTGGTTTAAATAACTGAAAGTGGCATTTTTTATAACTTTCGGAAGACGATGTCTTTTAATTCCCCAAATAATACCTCAATTTGATAGGAAGAAGAAGAATGCTACATATGTAAAAGAAAACAAAACAAAGTCTTAATAAATTTCAGAGCTTAAAACTTTAGGGTTCTGATGAAAACTGATCAACATTTTAATTGTAAGTCATTAGTTGAGCAATAAATACTCAGTGATTATCTAGGTGTTAGCTCACGATGAAAATAACCTTAAAATTTAGACCAAGGTCTAAATGCTATATTAGTAATAATTCTAACTGAGATAATATCGAGAATATTACATCACTAGTATTTATTAACTTACAGTAATCATTCTTGGATCGGAAGAATTCAAATTTACTACAGAAGGTTCACAAACACGTGGTGGACGTTGAAGAAGTTGGGCAGATGTAGTACTTAGTGATGCAGAGGATTGTGAAGGCTGTTTCTGTTGGATGCTGATAATTAATTTGGAGCTTTCAGTTTTTCGCTTATTGTCCTTTTTATTCCGTAGAGAATCTTTCGTGATGCCCGGCGTTGTTGATTGTGAAACAAGTGTAGTACAGTTTTCAGTGTCTGATACATAATCGCGATGACAACCGGTTTCTACAACTGTTGTTATTGTTGAAGATGGTGACGGTGATGAAGGAGTTGTCTGAAATTTACAAACAAGTTAGATCCATATGATAAGGCAGACGATAATTTCTGTAAATTTAGAAGTTTATTTATTATGGTAAATTAAGGTGTCGAAAAATTGATGAGAATAGTGAAGTGCTGGAATAACTTTTCATTTGACATCAACATTTATTAGTTGAGGTTATTCGACTAATCAGCCAAATACTTTAGGATGATATTAAGTGGGATGAGGCAACAAATAAAGTTGTAGATATCACCCACTGGGAAATAAAATCGATATTAAGAGATCTTATGTTGAATCTGGATACATAAACATTAGAATAAGAATAAACTACTACTAAGTACATTCCGATTATCAGTTATTGTTTGAAATATCTTTGTGTGCTATTGGTCCAAAGTACTAGTCATAGTAATCATAATAATACTTATAAGGGCTGTCTAGTTTTCATTTTAGGTTCTTATTAATAACCAATTTTCTCGTTTACATAAATTGTTAGACTACTGAAAAAGTGACTCAGTTTCTTGAACAACTTAATCTACGTCATAATAAAGACAACATGTTCACATAAGTGTTCAAATATAGACTAATTTGTCTGTTTACTAATAATGATTAGTAAATTGTAAGCATATATTATGATGCGTTTACGAATATGAAAATCTAACATTAATGTTAATTGTCAGACCCCAACTAAAATCAAGAGTCATACAATAGATGAACATTGTATATGGCATTAATGAACACTAATCTCATAGATTTTTGCTTTCTTTTCAAACTTAGTGATACTGTCTAGTTAATAATAAATAATCGTCATTCTTCTGAAAGGTAAACCTTATAAATTAAAGCTACTCATTTTTGGTGTCTGCTTGGTGCTAGATATTTGTTCGTTTACAGAGCGTTTTACTGAAGGGTAATTAACTGTCGTTAACGTGGAACATAAATAAATTATTTAAAGCAGTGAGTGAGTGTCACTAGTTTTAATGGAATACGGAGTGGTAGCTGTTTTATGAAAGGATGCATTCAACATCAGTAATACTAATAAGATATATAGTTGAGATAAAAAACCTATCACCTTCATATATACCGGAAGAGTTAGAACTTCAACCAATAAATCTTTGGTTTTAAGTCAGTAAATGCCAATTGAACTATTTTATCAAAATATTTGATGACTTTAATGACTCTTTAACACAAAAATATTTCATACGTAAGGTGCTTCAAACAATAATCATGACATTAGGACTATATCAAAACATTTTCACTGTTTCTTGACCAAAATGTGGTTCAGAATCGCTAATCTCAGCCAGGTGATTGGATAGTTGGCAAGATGCTTTTTAGTGTGTTTATTTTTAGTGTCAACCAGCAGAAATGATCAATATTTCACACTTTTATAAATGTTATGAACTCATTTTAAAATAGTTAAGTAACTGTCCGCCAAAATCAGCTAATATACAAAACACCACATTTTTAGTTTGATTGTCAATTATGTTTTAAAACAATGACAATTATAGACACGTACTTCAATGTAAACGCATAAATTTATATCTACAAAATAAGAGATTCAGCAGGAGCGGATGACCATTTCCCATAGTTTACTTGTAGGGCACTAAAACTTCCTTACTTTGATCTTTACTACTTGAACTGAGAAGTTTGTATAAATCCAATAATGGGAATAAATTTATACACAGAATTCATGAACACTGTTTTACTTCAAAAACAAACTTTTAAGTAAATAAAGATGGAGATAAACACAAATCTAACTTCATGAAGGTGAATTAGCAATCTAGCGATAGGTTAAATGACAATCATATGAGTACGTATTAATGATATGCCCAAACTAAAATAAAACAATTCTTCAGTGTTTCTCAACTATTAAAACGTCTCTATGTGATATTCAACTGCGCTCAATGTTGCCTTCATTTAAACAGTTAGACAAAACCACATAGGTAAATATGGATATTGGATAGCATAAATTGTTTGATAAGTAGATGGAATAGATCCATAAGTCTCGTATGATGGGAAAGAAAAACAAACAAATTGCTGTTTGTTTAATCGGAAAATTTTCCTTACTTAACACTATGTTCTGCAAAGGATATTTCATCAACCAAAAAACGGGAATAGTGGTTCGTATTAGTTCATCAGAAATCTATGTTGGACAAATCGGGCAAATGTTGGTGAATGGGTAGATCCAAAACAAATAACATTATGCCTGAGAATGAAACTGTATTGTGAATTGAAAATACTAATTCAGAAAAAGACTTCATAAGGAATCTGGATAGTGAGTAAAACATTGGAAAAAATCCACAAACTTATTTAGAATTTTGAAACCTTTTCCCATCCATCAATTCGTGATTTAGTTTTTATAAAGTTAGTGACTTTAAGCTTCACAATGATTACATTCTTGATAGTACATATTTCGTTACAATATGGTAATAAGCTAGAAATGAGATCAGATCTAGTTGTTGATAAATGATTTAGAATCCTTATCAAGATAGTTGTGATAACAGTTAATCATTTAAAATCTTACTAAGTAAGCTTTATGACAATAGTATGTCAACTGTTTACTCGTTCTCTCTAGTCATTTATTCCCCGAACAATTTAGGGATATCTATTCTAAACTCGATTAACCAATGGCAAATAGAATATTGCAAAATTGATCATTACTAAGTATTACGTAAATGTTTTTAAGTTAACATATTCATGAGAGATTATTTAAACCCATTTACTGGTCAATTGATTAGTCACCAAAAAAAACAAAAAAAAAATTAGTAAATATCTATTATAGTTTCCGTAATCTGTATCTGATTCTATTTTGTAAACAAGAATACCAAATTAATTCTTATAATTGTCACAAAGAAAAAATGGTGAATTAGTAACGGGAAACATTCATCTAAAATTATTATTAATAATATGAATTCAAATTATATTTCTACTAGTCAACCAAAGAAACAGCAGGTATAACTAACTAATAAATCATTAATACATTAAAACAAAAATTTTCAAGGCTAAATACCATTTTGCAAAAATATAAATTTGACTAACAAATATTTCTAAAAAGTGGATAGATTACAAAGTAATTTATCGAAAGTCACTCTTGGAAGTTAAATAAGCATAAGTTTTGAGGGTATGGGTGAGATATTTATGACTAATAAAATACCAATTACACTTATCGATCAGTGCCACATGATCAAAATGACACCATAATCTAATTATTACTAAATTGTTTAGTGTGTTTATTTAAGGCGGGATCAGCATCGATTCGCAATGTTCATTTTATCAAAACTATTAATACTATTGGTTTTAATGGAATTAATCGGTTTGTAAATGTTTATTAATTTCAATGTTTAAGATCATGAGTCATTTGAAGCTAGACCACCATGGAAAACCTGGAAGCACCGGATTAGTTGAAGTTAGACATAAACACCATCGGATGCCGGCTCAGTGTTCTAGTGGTTAAGTGCCTGCACGCGAAACCAGTAGGTCCTGGGTTCGAATCTTGCAGGGGGCGCTGCTGAAGAGTCCCACAATAGGACGAAACTGCCATCCAGTGCTTCCAGGTTTTCCATGGTGGTCTAGCTTCAACTGACTCATGATCTTAACCATTGAAAGTACTATAATATCCACAAAACCCATCTGTTATTAATTTGTTAATTGTGAAAAATTCACTTAGAAGAAAAAGGTTGTGAAAAGTATAAATTTTGATTTAGTAACCATGTTTTAATTCTGATCATACACTGATCAAATCTGTCAATTAGAATATATTAAGGTGTCCATTGACTGGTATTTTTGTATACATGAATAAATAATTCCAATTATTGACTTTAGGGTCACCTAAGCTAAATCCAGTCTATCAAACAAACACAACTTAATTATTAATCAGGTTTCAATTTATTTTTTTTCGCTGAAAAATTCCCATTATATTCGTTCATACAATTGTGATTTGTTTTTTTATTATCAAGTACTATGTTCGTGATACATGACAATTAACACTTCTTCACATATACCTTTGAACTTGATCTCTTGTCAATCTAAATGTATTTCATTTCCATGAAACAAGTAATTGTTTACATGATAATTAGATTCTATTACATAAAGCTGGTGACTGGCTGGTTTCTGATTATAAGAATGATGATGATGATGATATTACCAATGTTTCTAAAATATGATAAGAAATATTAAAAGTAGTATAATGAACTTCCTAGACCCTATTCAATTTGATAAGAGATTTATAAATCATAGCATATAACCATGACTAGCCGATCATTGTGTTGCACATTTCAATCATAAATGAATAATAGTCAAACAGTTCCCAGAAAAAGTTGGTAATAAATACTCCGTTTTGAAACTTTAGCTTAAGATCCTCCTTTAAAATGAGTAAAATTTATAACTTTCTGACGCGTCGTTAAGTACACCAACTTTATAAATAATAAGTAAGATCACACTAAATGTACACCTTTCATAGTTTGCTGTTGCACGACTGGTTTTGGACATTTATGCTCATCAATTAGAAATGTTTATTAATGAAGTTACGTCTTTGATTTTGAATATCTGACACGTTATATGTATTTCTTGATTATCAACAAATATTTATAATAAAGGATACCAATAAGAAATAATACTGGTAACAACGAGAGATACTCGTCGCATTATTGACTAAAGTAATGAAAGATATATAAACCAAGACGTTTTCTACTATGCTATTTTTTGAAGCCGTACAATTATCTGTTACATAACTGTCTAAGGGGTGATGAATAATGTTAAGTACTTTGCGTGATAAGTATGTGACAAAAATGTCAACTCGGAGAACATGAAGAGGCAAGTATGAAAATAAAACTTTGAGGTAGCAGTGACAAATAAAATATGAAAAGGGAGTAATGGCAATTGATTACGAGGTAAGAAATATTAGAGGAATGTCTGGATAGTCATACAGCTTGGGCTGGAGTTAAGTTTAAGGTTTTGCGCTCGAGACCGTATGTTCTGGGTTGGAATCCCACGTGCGGAATTGTAGATGCGTACTGCTGAAGAGTTCCATAGTGGGACGAAACAGCCATCTAGTGTTTCCATGTTTTCAAGGGTGGCCTAACATTGATCAATTCATGATCTCAATTAAAACTCATTACTTTCCACAGCCCTATACTGATAAAATCATTGTAATCCACAAGTTTCTGATCCATATACCTTTCATCTTTACGTATTTGACTCTGCGGATGCATAATTTCGGTGGGATATAAGTTATAGTTATGTGAAAAGTGTTCCATAATAAATCTGCTGATTTACGTACACTTTCGTCGTAATGGATGATATATGTTATTCGTAGGGAAGTGATTAGAAAGCGCTTGCTTTCCTGGGCCAATACAGAAAGCTTTACAAAAGCAAGTTAACTTGTCGTTACACCGTGAAGTAGCTCAAAGGGGAAGCTTGTTCATGACATGTCCAAACTTTATTCAAAAGAGTTGAAACAAATTACAACACATTTACGATACGGGAAGTGAGAAAATATTTGATGATTATGTTTCTAAACAACAACTATCTTCGTAAATTCATCAAGCGACATCAAACTCGTCACTGAAAATGAAATCAAACATGGAAACTAGCAAACGAATCACCCTACTATACATAAAGGACTTTGAAAATCAAAACAATATTATCTAAGCTGCTTGGAAGAAGTGCAGTACAAAAGCGAAAAAAACACTCAGATATTATATAATCAAATGGTGAAATGTGATATGGAGAGCCGATCAAAAGTAGCCCAGTGAGAAGGTCAATTGATGACAATCAGAAGTGACTGAGAGGACAAGTCGTTCAAACAGCTCATATATACCCAAAGCTTTTACTGATGATGTTCATGAGAACAACAGAAAATTCCAGTTAAAAAATACCACCCAAATAATTTAATTGTGCTACAAATCTTCTCCAACATATCTAAGAAAGGATCATGCAAATGTCAAAAAAATCGCCACTGGACTAGGATATTCACTACCGTGCATCAAATACTGTAGAATAAATTAATGGGTATGGATGTAACTCTCAAAAGATTGTTAATTGTAAATTTGACATTTCACTCCATAAACATTTTCAGGATGTTTTATTTCCTATGAATATGCTAGATACCTTCTATAATAGATGGTTGAATACGATTAATAGAAAAACAGGGAAATCAATTGTAAGCTTATCATCACTTACTAATTCAGCGACTCCAACTTGGCAAATTTTTACGTTTTTGAATAATGAATAATGTTTCATGCTCTATTACTCAAGGTTGTAGAAGCCGTCAATCAAATGTTCCAGTATATCTGGATATCAGATTTAAAATTAACAAAACCTTAGTCGAGTACTTTTTATGTGTTGGACAGAAAATTTTAGTACTCTCCAGTTTTTTTATTTATTTGGACTTAGCTGTTTAATAAATTTATTTATCTCATTGGCAAGACAAAAAAAGGGGATCAATAGCTTAAGGTAGGAGAGATGACCACTTTTGTCAGTTAAATGGTTAAATACATCACAGTATACCCTATGATATAATTCTGAGAATCATGTCCATAGTTAAATTTTAGCTTATAGGTACTATCTCACTGACTGATGTTCTAACGTTCAACTTAAGATATTGTTTGATTGCTGAAAAGGAGATTGATGTGTGTTACTGAAGAACATTGAAATAGCTCTGCAAAATTGTAGGCACAAGCTATTACAGATTCCTAAACTGGAAGAAAACGGTTAGTGATCTTTCATGTTCATACAGTACATAGCAAAAATGTCAACATACCTCTACATAAAGTACCTGGCTATATAATGATAATTTTTTTACTAATAACTTAAGTTTGTGCTGCCAGTGTTATTTAGAAAGACAACGAAAATTCCCTGGTTAAACTATCAACTCAGTGAAAGTAACTCCATCATAATTATAAGTGATGGATATTTCACATGAAAAGTTCAAGTAGAATAATAACTCAGAATGATTCTTTCGGTTAATACTTTGTTCTCTGAGCTGGATTGCCTATTTATGAAGCTGTCATTGTAGTTTTGGACGACATTAAAAGAACTTACCATGAAGAACTATAGTGGAAACTTAACGGTTTAACTACCCAGCTCAATGAACACAATGAAACCAATAAGAAAAAATAACACTATTTCATGTAATTTTTGCCTATCAATATCGTTTATCAAAGAAAAACATAGTACGAATAAATGATCACATTCATGGATTTTTGAAAAGATCGAACTGATATGATTTCATTTAATTTTAACTGTATTGTTTCAATCCTTATTCTACAATTTAAAACTAATAATCACATTAAAAATTCTTTTAAATAACGCAACAAACACCATGTGATGTAAACATTATAGTGGTAATAAGTTGTACTAAAATAAATCTATATAATTTATCCCTTGTCTCTGATCAGTTTAGTTTAAATGTAACTCATCAAAGAATAATGTTTCAATATTTCCAACTTCATAGTAATATCAACAACCTTTACACCTAGATAAAGACATTAGTTTTTAGAAGGAATTCATACTAACTAAATGAATAGGAAAAGAAAAAATAAAAGGAAGATAGATAAGTGAACGTTGAATACCATGTGTGTATGCATATTTATTTCTTTTTCTTTTTCTTTCTTTTTTTTAAAAAAAAGAAAAAGCGTAACAAATAAAAACTTTTCTTTTCAATATATTTCTCATGAACACAATTGTAAAAGATTGTTCTTTAACTAAATGATTATTCAACACATGTACACACAAATAATCCGTTCTTATCATTATCAGTATGAAGTTAGATTTCTGAACATACACTAATAATTTATTAATTTGAACGTTTAATCACCTTAATGATTTATTTAGAATCATAAGAAAAAAATGCCAAGTAAGTAAGCAAGAAGTTAATTATTTAATACACTCAAAAATGAAACTTAGAAAAACCCATCTCAGTGCTTTATAACACTGAAAATGGTATATATATATATATATATATATATATATATATATATATATATATATATAGTGAGTCGCTTTATCACAGCTACTAACTTCATAAATAATTAACCATTTAAGGGGATAACTCAAAAGTAATTTTCAAATTCCTCATCAAAAATTGTTCAGTAATGTTTAAATTGATTAGTATCATTCTACTTTTATTTGCATTTATCAAGAATTTCCGGTTATCAACCGAATTATATATGGATTACATTTTATTTAGTAAGATCTACTGAGTAATAATTATGTAGATAGTTTTATTGTATTTAATATAATTTGGCTGTACATTTCTATATTCTGGATAAAACTTGGCCAGAGTAAAATAGGAACACATAACAGAGTAACTTTTTCTTACTGAAATATAAATTCCTATTATTTATCTGTGATTAGTTAGGCCACTCATTTGAGGCTGATTATAGATCTACTGAATTTAGTTTTAAGAACAACATAATGAGGAACTCGAGCTACCTCATTATGTAATGTTTCACGTTGTACAGAGGTCTAGTAGGATTGAAGTAATCTGAAAGTAACTATTATTATGTTAATTTATAATTACATTCATGAAGTTCACCTTCCAGGTTCTAAGTTAAAATGCGAAAGAAGTTTCTGGTTTTAGAAAATAGCTACAGGTATTATATGCATCGATTGAATGTCAGTTATCTTTTTAACTCAAAAGTAAACCACTGCTTACTTACTGGTGTTTCGTTTCTCATGAGAGATAAATCTATCCCCTCATAATCCGAAGCATACGTAGTCTGATATTGAATTCGAGAACTTTTGTTGATATTGTTACTATTAGTCGGGTACTCAGGTAATAAAATATTATTTTTGTTCTCTAAACCTGACTGCCTTACTGAATCATATGTCTGTTCATTGTTTGGTGCACTTGTGCCATATAGACTGCGGATAAGATATTGTGTTTCGTTAGTTTCCAATGTGTCAGTTTTATTAGACGGTGAATGATTCTGAGGACTAGGCAGGAACACGTTATGGTTATTTGATCGTAAGTTAAGTCGATATGCATTCTGAGGGCTTAACGCGGTTGAGTTCGCATGTTGACATTCATTAAATGGATGAGTAAATAAACGATTTAACGAAAAGTTATTTGTCAGTAACTGTTGTCGAGGGATTAAAAAGTCATCGTGCAGTTTAGGTCGACCAATTAACAGATCAGCATAACCTTGTACTTTATTTATTCTACTGGAATTTATTCGTGTTGTAGGATGTGTTTTATCATTTGAGATAACGTTCATTTTATTATTTAATTTTAATAAATCGTAGTCAAGAGTTGAATAATCGTCCATTTTTTCATTTGAATTTTCCAAAGTATATTCATTTTTCGGCATTATTCTCCAATTGGTTGCTTCATCAATTTTTACACAATTTGGCTTTTCTGTGACATATATGTTTGCTAAATTGTTATCAACCGGTTTCGGCAGTTGATTAGGCATCATTCCGATACTAATTGATATGAAGTTTGAACCGGCTGAAGTTGTTGGACCTTAATGCAAGAATGTACATAACACTATTAGTAATAACTACTCTGAAAAATGTTATTTGATAATAAATAAATGCAATAAAAATATACGAATAAAAAATATTTAATTGCTAAAAGCATCAAGCATTACTTATAAATACACAGGCTAACCTGATATAAGCAAGGATGGATAGTGGCTAACAGTGGAATCCAGGACGCGCAATTCGTCCTAATTGGGAATCGTCAGCTGGATGTACCGGCATCTCAGAATTGATGCTCACTGAGACACTCGAGCGTAGTACCATTCGCCTCAAATGTCATCGCGTTATCCACTTGGATACTGAGTTCTGATAGCCACCTGATCAATTGCAGTACTAAATAACAATGGGAAGATACAAGTAAACAACATCAAGTGAATATAACTTGACCACATTGCACAAGCAGGTGGCTATCAGCACTCAGTAGGTGAGTGGATAACGCGATGGCGTTTGAAGCGAACGGTACTGTACTGGGTTCGAGTGCCACAGTGAACATCAACTGTCAGATGCAGGTACATCCAGCTGACCATTGACAAATAGCACGAAACGCGCGTCCTGCATTCCACTCCTACCCACTATCCGTCTTTGCTTATAATGCTTGTGAATTAAAGCAATATCGAAGCAATACGCACAGTAAGCACACATGCCAATAAGAGACTGATCAATTGCAAACCTGAACATCAATGGGAAGATTCAAACAAACAATACTAAATGAATTTAACCTGATATAAGGTTATTTTGAAGAAATGTACACAATATGCAGTACATGATTATTATAATTATGAATTTAGTATGCTTTTAATAAAGCAAGAATTTTGTTAGACGGTTAAATTATACGTTGCTTGTTCAACCCAGGATGTAGTAAAATTCTGGATGTGGATTCTATCATATATAAGATATATTAAGCGGATACACTTGAGTCACATGTACTGATGTGATATCAGCTTGTCTTTTATCTATCGTATTTTATTCTTGTATTTTCTACCGCATCATTATAAAGATCAAAGAAACGGAATATAAGATAATTATATTATTTGAAACTTAATTAAACACAACATTAATCTTCTCGCCAATAAACAAATGAAATCGTCCCGAAAAGGATTTATGGAATGAAAAGTCCATGTGTAATAACTTAATTTTGTAAATCATGTTAACAACATCACTGATCAAAGAAAAGATGATCATATTTAACTCTCTGACAGATATATCTTATAATTAGTTTTTTTACGAACTAAATCGAAAGCTGGAATAAAATAAATACGTCAACGAATTTACAATAAAATAAGCGTTTTTGACTGAATAGAAGCTGTCAGTAGTATGTTGTCGTGAGTTCTTTTATTACCAAAATTTAAAAGTAATAAATATGATAATATATAGGTTTAAATAAATTGAATTTAGTCTCAAAATATACAGGTGATTTAAGTTCTAAAATAGAATATAGCATACTTCAAGCAACAATCACTAGCCTTGGAAACGACCTTACATTTGTTGGAACGAGAGAAAGACAAATCGGCGATAATGGATTAACCTTTTAAGATTTATTGTGTAATTTGTTGAAAGCACTGATCATTCTATTGGGAATCGTTGTTCGCAGCAATACATACACACTGAATAAAAAGAAAACATGACTTCCAAATATTAAGGTTTACATGATACAAGGTCTATTTTAAAGAAACCGGATGTTATGTACTGAATGCAATTTATTGTTCAGGAAATACTGAAATAAATTATCTCACACTAGTCTCAGTATGACTTTAACATCATTAAATGACCTGATGTGTGCATACTGATTTAAATAGGTATGTATATGCTTAATTATAACTAGAAGTAATTTCAGCTTATCTTTAGTGTTATTTTCAAACCAAACAGCTCCTAATGATGACTGAATCCATCTTTAGTGACCGGGTAATCTTTAGCTCTATGGATTTCTGTATTTTCATGGAGCGCGAGGGTGGTTCTCTCAAAAACGAGTAGTAAATGATATCTAAATGACTGTGTTATTAAACTAGATACTAAGCACCTCAACTAATGTCTGAAGAATCTTGATAATTGTGACCATCTGTGTTTAGAACTGACTGTTTGGCAAAATAAATTTGCTATCGACAAACATATGAAAGCTATTAAACGAAAAAATCCCTCATCCCTCATAAAGTATCAACGATAAGGTGTAATTCACAAAAAGCTTAAGGTATCAGGTCATAGCAACTAAAAGTTTTGAATAATTTTCAAGGAAATGACCATTACATAAATTTTACAACAAAATTTAATCGTTATATCAGTGAGTAACATAAGCAAAACAATCCATGATTAGATGCTAAAATCTACTTATCGATAGAAAGCTAAATACTCTGTATTTTGTTAAATTTTATTTTATATTTCAGAAAGGAGCGATAAGCAATCCATCAGTATAAATAGGTGACTGACAGCCATATTAACAACTTGCACAAAGACATATAAGTCAGTGTGTAAAAATATATCTAACCACAATAGCTCACTATACATATATTGCTTTGCTTAAAATAACTTAGAGCTATTCTCATTAGTCTGTTGAAAGTAGACTGATCTGACCAATGGTATGTTAACAATTTCGATGAAGTCATTCTGATAAAGTAAATCGACTGTCTATATCAAAACAACATTTGGTGTTTGTTTATTTTGGCTGCAGATTTGCTTTCTTTTACCCACATAACCAGTGAATTTAAATGAAAAGGTAGTTACTAATATTGAAAAACTATGGAAAGCTAACGAATTATAACGTCGTTTCGGATTGTAACACAGTTCAAAAATATATTCTGTTGCCTGTTCTGATAATTCGAATGAAAAGAAAACATTAGGAAATTCAAAATAATCATTCGTAATGAATAATATAATGAAGAAAATTTACTAGAAGACAATTCACTGCTTACTGATAATTTATTATGAGCAAAACATTTTAAAGTTCTAAATAAACTATGTGACTCGTACAAATATTTTAGTCTAGAGTGAGGATAGATAATCATGATTTTTGGTGGTAATCAAGCCATATTTAGAGTGAACCAAATATTGAAATTAAAAGCTACTAAATTTCTACATGATAATTTAAAGGGAATAGTGCTTTTGCTAGACTTAAATGAACTACTCACAGAATGCGTTCTGAGTCGTAGGTCTGATCAAAATACTTTTCTCTTATAATCTATGCTATTCACAATATTTCATCCCTCTACGGACATGACTATTCAACAAGAGGATTAATCTATCATAAGGCTAATAGAAAATTACTCAGAAAGTTATAAAAAATTTAAGTCATATTATGGAGTAAAACTCAGTGCTAATGATTTTCTAAAGGTTAAGTTTCTTATGAGAATTAAACGATGTATAATGTTACGGATTTTAATTTACCTCCATAAAATACTTACTATGATTACAAAACTTGTTTATTTCTGGCATTTTTGTAAAGTTTTCTTCCAGAGAAGATGGTGTATCACTTCCAAAAATTGACGCTACCTCATCGACATCCGGGTCATTTCTTAGAGGAAAAACATTTGAAAATAGAGGATTCATAGACGTTGGGTAGGTTTGCATAAAATCAATTTCTTCGTCTGCGAATCGTACGGTTTTTCGCGCTATGCGAGGTGATTCGATATTTCTAATTTCAGGAGATACGTAGCATGTATTCACGACATGATCATTTGAACTACTATCATCGCCAAAATGGGGTGAAACACAACCGATTTGAAAGCGAACTGTAGTGAGGTCAACACTGTCACGTGCTCCATGTAACGTATAATAAATTTTGTCTTGAAAGGATTCATATGTACCGTCAAAATAAGTCTTCGGAGAGAGTGGTCTTGATTTAAGAATACTTCTTGTATGTTTTGCCGCAGAAGTAATCTGTTGCTGTGGTATCGTCTTATCTCTATGACTAGTTTCTTTTTCTTCTGCAAAAATGAAACCATAAATATCTTCAGCTTGCATACTCTGTGAACTAGAAGAATCGTAATTAGTTAATTCACAAGGTGTTGGGTGTAGCGTTGTGTTATTGACATCTAAAATTAAACTTGAGACTTCATCATCTGTACTGACTAGGTTGGATGGATTTTCGTCGCAATCTTTCCCTTTTTCCAAAAGACCATACTGATCACCATTATCTCGTGTTTGCTGGGAGGTGAAGTTAACTGTATTTGCTTTAGAAGTAATAGAATCTTTAGCTGGCTGAGGGCAGTTCAATGTAGAATGATTTAATGAGTTTTTTTCCTCTGTGTGTGGTGGAATTACGAATTTTAAGGTTTTTTGTGGTGTATGTATTGAAGTTGGACTTCGTGAAGTTAACTAAAAATAAAGGAAATCATAAGAAGAATGGTGATGTTTAAAAGTTCTTCAAAAATTATGGGCATAATAAATAAAAGTAATGGTCTGGTAATTTATATCAACTTGTAATGAACAACACTACCAAACCACTATAATCTCAAAATACGACCTCAACACGCATCTTGGAAATACTCATTAGTAATTCCCTTAAAAATAAGTAGCCATCATTACTTTTAACTTGATAATAAATAAAGTTAACAGCAAGGCTACTCAGTGGTCATGATGAACGGTGACTGTTTCATACAACCTGTCGCTTTTTATAGTTTATCTCCCATAAAAGATGAAGATGAAATTTTTAAGTGATTGAAACCAATGATGAGTTCTATCAGTCTCCTACTTATACCTTGCTAATATATACTATACTCACCACCTTTATGTATAATTTATATCAAATCTGAAAATAAATTTAAATCATTTTGCAATATAAAACAATGATCCTTCTAACTAGTGAAATTATTGATGTTTAATTACTTTCATTGAAATCTTACCTTGAGTTTTCGCAATAGAAAGGCATCACCACTTATCTCGCCACTGGAAAATCTTTTTGTTTTTCTTCTAAAATATTTTACCTGAAAAACGTTGGCCTAACTGTCAATTAAGTACCTTCATAACCGAAAACATTGATGTATGTAAAAATAAACCTCACTGCGGTATTTTAGACCTCCAAGTTTGCAGGGTAAACCGACTAGGTTGCTTATTAGTTGAATCACCAAGATTTTACTCTTGAGATCTCGAGTTCAAGGCCCACAACATCTGCTTCTGGCCTCTCAGTTGGATATGAACACTAATCCTAACACAAGCAGTTTGGTTCCTAGCGTTTTACACCGACTTGTCACCTAGTAAACGAGTTACATTATCGTTCACATACCGACATAAGTCACTTGATTTCATAATTGAATATTTATATTATAACTCCGCCTGTAGCTCTTCTAGAGATACTGCCGATCCCAAGCCCGAGTAAAAGAGTAGGGTTTGGCATGGCGTCGGCAAACCCATCCCGTAGAAAAAATCTTGCTAAAAAAACGTCAACCAGATTAAACAAATTAAACCATTTAAACTGTGCCCTAGGAGTTGAAGGAAGAATTATGACGCCTCAGGATGAGAGCAAAGATTCTTCGGAAGTCACGAAAACGATGCCCCTTCTAACAACCAGAGCAACAATTTTCATAGGAACATGGAACATCCGGACAATGTAGGAGACCGGAAACACCAGTCAAATAGCAACGAAAATGAGGAGATACAAATTGGCAGTACTGGAAATCAGCGAAACCCATTGGACCCAAGCTGGGCAGATAAGGATAAATTCGGGGGGATGCTGCAGTACTTTGGTCACGAAGATGGAAATGCTCCATACACTCGGGGAGTCGTTCTAATGCTCTCTAAAGAAGCACGAAATGCACTTGTAGGATGGGAATCTCATGGATCCAGAATCATCAAAGCATCATTCAAAACAAAGAAGGAGGGCATAACAATGAATGTTATCCAGTGTTAAACACCAACCAATTATAGCGATGGAGACGATGAAGATCAGTCTTATGAGAGTCTGAAGTCGGTCGTAGAGAAGTGCTCAGGAAAAGACCTGAATATCCTGATAGAAGAACTACACTCCAAAAGTGGAATGGACAACGCCGGATATGAAGATATCATCGGACGACATGGACTGAGAGAGAGACGAGAATGGGGAGAGATTTGCAAACCAATGTGCATTCAAGAAATTGGTTATAGGAAGCATAATATTCACACACAAAAGCATACACAAAGCTACATGGATGTCACCGAACCACACGACAGAGAACCAGAAAGATCATACTTGTATCAATAAAAAATTCTGAAGGACAAAGGAAGATGTGAGAACCAGGAGAAGAGCTGACATAGCTTCAGATCACCACGAACTGGTGTTTGCCAAGATGAATCTGAGGCTAAAGAAGCACTGGGCAACTGGAAGAGCAGCATTACAAAGGTTCAATACAGCCATCCTTCCACATACTGACAAACTCAACGAATTCAAGATAACGCTCAACAACAGATTCCAAGCCTTACAAGATTTACTGGAAGAAGAGGAACTACTATGGAAGACAATGGGAAGGGGATCAAAGAAGCTCTAACTTCAACGTTTCATAATAACGAATGGATAACTGTGGAAACCCTGAACAAGATTGAAAAAAGGATAAACAAGAAGATAGCAATTAACAACAGCCGAACAAGAACAGAGAAAATCAAGACACAAACTGAATACACCACAGCAAACGAACAGGTAAAGACGAGCGTTAGAGCTGACAAGCAGAAATACGAGGAAGACCTAGCAACGACAGTGGAAAAAACTGATAGAGAAGGAAATATGAGACAACTATTTGACATGACGTGGAAACTGACAGGGAAATATAGTAAACGAGAGAGACCGGTCAAGGACAAAGAAGGCAGGCCAACCACTGAAATCCAAGAACAGAGGAACAGATGGGTAGAGTACTTTGAGGAACTGTTGAATAAACCAGGTGAATTGAATCCACCGGACATCGAAGCAGCACATGCAGACCTATTTATAGATGTCACTTCACCAACGACCGGAGAAATATCGATGGCCATCAGATAAATCAAGAGCGGGAAATCAGAAGGACCTGGCAATATATCAGCTGAAGCACTGAAGTCAGATATAGATGCAACTGCAGACATGCATCGCCTTCTATTCAAGAAGATTTGGGAGGAGGAATAAGTGCCGACGGACTGGAAAGAAGGACGTTCAATCGAGATACCAAGGAAGGGAGATTTGAGCAGATGTGAGAACTACAGAGGCATCACACTACTGTCAGTGCCAGAGAGTCTTCAATAGAGTGTTGATTAACTGGATGGAAGACGCAGTAGACGTCCAACTTCAAGATCAACAGGTTGGATTCCGTAAGGGTCGGTCGTGCACAGACCGAATCGGGACACTACGGATCATCGTCAAACAATCAGTTGAGTGGAACCCGTCACTATACATCAACTTCGTTGACTGGGACAAGGCGTTTGACAGTGTAGATGGGAGAACATTACGGAAACTTCTTCGAAACTATGTAGTCCTTGAGAAGATTGTAAACATTATCCGGAACTTATACGATGGGCTACACTGCACAGTCGTGTACGGAGGACGGGTGATAGATGCATTCCAAGTGAGAACCAGAGTCAGACAAGTTTGCTTACGCCCCACCTTTCTCTTTCTTCTGGTGGTTGACTGGATTATGAAGACCTCGACATCTGAGGGAAAGCACGGAATACAATAGACAGCTCGGAATCAGTTAGACGATTTGGACTTCGCAGATGACCTAGCTCTTCTGTCCCTTACACACGAACAAATGCAGATGAAGACAACTAGTGTAGCAGCAGCCTCTGCATCAGCAGGCCTCAATATAAACAAAGTAAAAAGCAAGATCCTCAAATACAACACGTAGAACACCAACTCAATCACTCTTGATGGCGAAACTCTGGAAGATGTGAAAATCTTCACGTACATGGGAAGCATCATCGATGAACAAAGACGATCGGATGCAGACGTGAACGCGAGGGTTGGCAAATCAAAGGCAGCATTCCTAGAGTTGAAGAACATACGGAACTCAAAGCGGCTGTCAATCAATATCAAAGTCAGAATCTTCAATATGAACGTTAAGACAGTTCCACTGTATGGAGCTGAAAAGTGGAGAACTTCTACAACCATCATCAAGAAAGTACAAATATTTATAAATAGTTGTCTACTCGAGATACTCAACATTCATTGGCCGGATACCATCAGCAATACCATTCTGTGAGAGAGGAAAAACTAGCTTCCAGCTGAGGAGGAAATTAGGAAAAGACTTTGGAAGTGGATAGGACGTAGATTACGGAAATCACCAAACTGCATCACGTGGCAAGCGCCAACTTAGAATCCTGAAGGGAAGCGAAGAAGGGGCAGGACAAAGAACACGTTACGTTGGGAAATAGATGCACATATGAAAAGGATGAATAACTACTGAAAAGAGATGGAAAAGTTTGCACAGGACAGGTTTGGATGGAGAGTGCTAGTGAGCGGCTTATGCTCCTCCATGAAAAGTGACAGGCGTAAGTAAAAAGTAAAAAAGTACATAGTTTTGACAAGATCGTTTTAAGAACGCTATGTTGTAAGAAAACTATGTTACTTCATATCGATATTTCTAATTCTTTTAAATCATTAGAAAGTGGAGGCATTATTCTTACGAAGTGAAAATATTTATGATTGAGGGGAACTGACAGTAGAAACAATATTGCATAGATACTGTTCACGTAATCATAAAATGTATTCTACAGTCAGATTACATTGTCAGTGTCTTACAAGAAATCAAAAAACGATAAGTACAATATCACTCATGAAATGTATGATTACACCATTTATGAAGAATCATTTGTTTCTCGTTTATAAACGAGATTTTTAATTAATAATATCTAAGGCATAGCCAAGTCGTTTTTAAACACAAAAAATAATAATAATATTAATAAATTAGCAAAAATGGACTTTCACAATTTTTAAGTGGTTATTTGTTGTTTTAAGGGTTGACAATACTGCCATTTATATCATACAGCCAGTCATCAAAAGAAATATTTTGATTACAATAGATATGCTATTTATCATCCGTGTCAGATGCTTTATTATAAACTGCGATCTCCCTGAGGAACATGAATGTATACTTTTTCCAAGCCGTAAGAGAAGCAGGGTAAATCTAATTAGATTTGAATTAAGCAATAATAACCATCGTAGCAAGACTTTATGAATTCAATGGCATCATAGAATAACTTCGGTTACTTACAACGTAGAAACGATCGTAAAAATTATTTGGAATGTATATATATATATATATATATATATATATATATATATATATATATATATATATATATAGTATGGTATCAGAAACGTATTTTAAAATGATTATCAGCAAAAATGTAAAAATATAAGAAATATTCATGTAGTTAAATTGTCATACGTTAGATTACGTGAAGTTCATGAAAAAACTGTTGTAACATATCATGACAGGTTTATAAAAAAGGAGTTATGTTGGGAGAAAAGTAATGATGGTCAAAAGAATAAACAGATAACTGGGCAAAAAGAAGAATAGAAAAAATTATATATAGGTTCATGGAATAAGATGTAATCCAATTAAATGTTCGAAACCAGAACAATTCAAGACTTACAATGGAGCCTTTTTAAAATCTAGAAATCCTATTTAAACCTTCAAACAGTGATAGCTTTGGCCAGACGCAATAAATCTAAGGCTATATTCTAAACGATTATCTCAACGGATTTGAAGATTTTAATAACGAATTCACTTCTGGATATCTTATGAGGGATCACAATGTCGTTTTCAAGTTAATTATTGGTTGCAGAGCTTGCAAAACAATTGGATCACTGTTATTCTGTCACGACAACTGTTTCTATTTTATTTAGTTTGAAATAGGCTGACATTCACTCTCAAATTATATTTATAATTTTTTCCCACTCAGCTAGCGATTAGTTTTTGCTTTGATAGTGCCAAGTGGATAAAGCACAAAATATATGAAATCTTCGTTTCAACACTGACTAAATTTGAGAGAAGTACTTGGAGTTCTAGCAAGTTGACATGAATGTTTTGTGTGTTTGTTGTGATGCCTGGTATTTTGGGTTTCACCCCATGTAAAATCAGTGACTCACATTGTTGTGTAGTTAAAACTAGAACAGAACAGCTTATAAGTGATTTATCGTTTTCAGTAATTTACTATCTGTTTTCAATCCAGGGAAAAGGCTATTTTAAACAATCGCCATAATCCCTAATTTATTGTAGTGCGACATATTTGTTCATCCCTGATTTTTTAAGCATCCAAAGTGCGGTAAAATCTTATTCGCAACAAACAAAAGATTGACATTCTCAAAACCGTATTAAAGATATGAATCTTGAATGAAACTTCGCTATCATTTTTCTATTTAGTGCCATTATAAAAAACAACACAAAAACATAAAATTATCTGAGAAAGTAAGACTTCTATGACAGCCCACCTGATTTTCTGCTGAATAACTGAATGAATTTAAGGTGAATTGAGGCAGTGAAAAGGGTTTTCTTCATGTATACTTGAATTAAATTTCTGTCTCAATAAAAGTTTTTCTACTAAATTATATTTTTTGAACATCTTCCTAAACTTAAATCGGAAAGTAAATTTCAGTAGTAAACCATCCAGTTTTACTAGTTTGCTCAAATAACCTACTGTAACACAATATACTTATGGTAAACGCGATTTTCCTTTATGTGCAAATACTTCGGAAGTACGCAGAAAAACTGGATTATTTTAAGATTCTAACGATTATTGATCATATTTTTATTTTCCCTTTAAACGTTCGTTTTAAATCTTACCGTTCACTGAATAATATATTTTACTTCCCCAAAGCCACATCTAAAAGATAACTGACTCAGACATTCAGCTCAGATTGTTTAATTATATTCAACAGTAAAGCTATCTCTGTATGCTAACATTTTTATTCAACTTTTCAATTTCAATATAATCCTTGGACGTTTGCTACCGAACTCACTTTATCCTAATTCCTATCCTCAAATATTATGTAGACAACCATATATCAAAATCTTGTAGCTTACTATTAACCGTATATGTACCTGCATTCTTACTTTACTCTCTATTACATCCCTTAATAGTTTGGATTAGTTTTTTAAATAAAAAAGTTAAGCCCATCATACTAGACCTCATTTTAAAGGCTAATTAATTGTTTTGCCTTTTCTGCCCTAAGATGCATTCCCATCAGAGGCAAACTTTAGAAAAAAGCTCAAATAAATCCAATAATTATTTAAGGCATTATCAGCCGGATATATCTTTATATATGTATGTTTGTTACAGCATAGATTTTAAACAAAAGAAGGAGTTGATATAAGAATTAGCTCAAAGTTTGAAATTTGGCTGGAAAATTTGTCAACGTTTTTCAGAAAAATATTTGGTACACTATTTTGGACAAGCTATTCAAAGTACTGCATTGTATCCAGTCAAAATTTATCGATGAAAACACAAATTAAGTGATGGAAAGAATGCAGACTCACGAAAGAGTTTGTCTACATTTTCAGTAGACTTAAAAATGACGACAATTTTACAAAATATATTGTCTATGGTTTAAATTGAATTATCACTAAGAAATAAACAATTTATATTTCAAACGTTTTTGTCATATTAAACGCTTCACAATCTATCTTGATTCTCACCATCTCTTATTAATTAATTCAGATTTTATAAAATATAGATAAAAGACTGGGAGGTTGTAAAGTAATTTCTGTTAAATCGAATGAATAATTGGTGTTTTGTCTGTTCAAATCGTGTAGTTTTTTATCAATAATCAACTAATTTTACGTTTTAAGTCGTAGCATATTTATACCAAAGAACAATTTATGACAGTTAAAACACCAAAAATAGTTGAACAAGATGGATAGGTTTTGCGCTTTGATTTCACACGTGTTTTCAGCTTTAACATAACTTGATCTTTCGACGTATTTATTCAAAGTAAATACGACAAGATTTGTAAAATAAAGCAAAGTAATCCTATATACTAGATTCTCAAAAAGATCATATGTCTCAAACGAAAATACGATAGTAGCTTTGAGTGATATCTATATTGTTTCTCATAGCTTTGGGTCTTCTGAAGCTTCTGAGAGTAGAATGAACTTATTCTATTTCCGGAACCTCGATCCGTTTGGGTCAAAGACAATAGCGAGATGGCCGATTTCTTCACGGGATGATCTTTACTTGGAACTTAGGAGGAACTAGGCGGTTGTTTCGTCCTAGCGAGGGACTCTTCAGCAGTAAGCATCAACGATACCGTCAAGTAATGAACACAGGACCTCTAATCTTGCACGAAAGTCCTCGACGTCTGAATAGGGGAACCGACATTCAATGGTATACGGTTCTAGCCATTTTTTATTGATCGAGGTAGGCAACCACAACATCACAAATGCTAACCAAATGTAAAACTAACTGTTGGAAGAAAGTGTGGAGATAGAAATTTATTCAAAAACAAAATGAGATTACATTTATCATTAATTATTTAATCATAAGTAGTTTAACTATTTTTTCAGTACACAAAATAAAACTTTCCACATTTTCACTTACATTCAACTGTTATTGCTATTTCTGACTAAAATCTGAACAGTAGGTTACGACTCAATGACAAAGAATGCAACAATTATGCTCATCAATCTCTGAAATATCCGAGAAACATGATTTATTGATAATTTAAACTAATATACGTACAAGTTTGGAGCCCGTTCTATCTTGTAAATGAAATAAGACGAATGTTTCATTGAAAATGACACAGTTTTTCGAAATGCGTAGACATGCACCCATTAACTGAATTTCTTTATGGGGTTTTCCTCCATTTAACGTGCTAGTTCATGTAAGCAGGTATTTAAACACTTATCAAGAATACAGAAAACCTAAAAGCTAACCTGTTTTAAATACAAACGGGAAACTTTCGGGTTTTTTAAGTGTTTTGTTTGGTTATTCTTAAAGATTTATGATTGTAAAGCCTGAAGTCATTTAAAAACCACTCGGATCAAGTGATAATCGTATTTATTGGAAAAGCAAATAAATGAACCTTAAATGATTTTAACTTAACCTATACCATTCAGCTAAAAATCTTAAAATTGGACATGCAAAAGCATTGTACTTTATAAATGTCTGAGCAGAACGTCCGTTCGAAGAGAAAATATTTGATAATTCAATATAAGAAAATTAATTGGCCAAACGATAATTTCGATCTTAAGGAGAGACGATGTTTTCAAAATGGAATAAAATACCACTGAAAGAATTCAACCGGAATAGCGACAACTTTGTTTCACACATGTAATTATGAGACAGTTTAATAAAAGGCAACTAAAAGCATACCAACGATTATGAAAATGATATAGTATGGTTAAGAAAACTGAATTTAGAAAAAAACGCAAAGAAGAACATTCACGAAAATGTTGAACTGACTGATTCATCAACATCTTAGAAATTATTTCTACTCATATTTATTAGACACATAGCTTAATCGAAATGATCTAAGGCATTTTCGCGTAAAAATGTTTACAATACTGTAGAAATAATTTTTGGGTCCTTACTACAAGTTTTATGAGACTCACATTACTGTACCGGACTAATAAAACAAAGGATTTCTAAGTGAATAACACATGATTTTCTTTATTTTGTTTTGTCTATTTTATAAAATATTTTTATGAATAGGCTGTTCACAAGTCTCACACCTCTGAATCTTGTCATCAATGTCTCTACAACAGTCCACGTGAGATGGTACAGATTCACTTGCCTAAGATCTCTATTAGCTTCACATGAATAATTTCCTAAACTGACTCATACGGTGCTTATTACTTGCTTGACTGATTCAACAAAAATGAGTACATCCCGTCTTTAAAGATAAAAAATTTTTTGGACCTAAGAAACACAAAATAATGTCCTATAAAATATGGAAAATTTCGTGCCTACTTTTGACTTCAAAGGCATGTTGTAAGCAGTTTTCGAAAGAACTAGACGCCAAAATATTAGTGTAATTTACGAAACTGAGTTAATAAAACAAAGTCAAGGTCACGAGTGGAGTTCACAGAACGATAACACAACAACAAAATTGTTATCCAAGAATACGTTTTCATTTTAAATAATCACCCAGATTGCGCTAGTTTCAAAAAGGGCAATGATTTTTGTACTTGTTGTGGTTATACTTGCTTTGGGTACTTATTGCACTAAAAAGCATTCTCGGTCTACTTTAACTAAGAGTACTTTGGTTAAAGGTTGAAATTTTTTGCTAAATTTTGTCCTGAGTACCTTTTTTTAGTCCTTGACTAACACTTGTGTTCACATTGTGATCATTTTTTGTTTTTAAACCTTTTAAATCTAATTACAATGGTTGGTAAGACTCACAAATGTGGGCCACCAAATTGTTTGTTCTGCGTTGAGGAGGGAATGCAGTGTGACGATTGTAAAAGGTGGTACCACAAAATGTGTACACGCCCAAGTCCGACGGCTTACAAAAGATGCGCGAAGCCTAACTCGCATTGGCTTTGTATGTTCTTCTGTACGGATAAAAAGTTACTAATACAGGAGGCTATGGGTCTACAGGCTCTGGCCTGCAAGAAAAACGGAGGAAGCACTGATAACAGGAGCACTGACAATGAAGAATGTGTCAGTGTAGTAAGTGCTGCTACCGGACCCGTTAAACACCTGACTGCGGTTGACCGGAACGTGAAATCTCCGTTGACATTAACGAGGAATGAAGTGTCGCTTGATATTGACATCGGCAGTCATTCACCTCTAGTCGAAATAGAAGATCCGGATAAAACTGTCATCGTTCCACATAGTCCAGGTGTGACTGTTCTGAGTGGTGACAAATGGACTTCGGTAAGAATAAAAAGAAATAAGAAGGAAAAGGCTGTAGGCAAAACGCAGCTGGTCAGCAAGGCATTGGAAGGGAAGTTATCAGAAGAAAAATCCTCACTGCGTGACAAGACAGATCTCTCTGATAGATCAGTCATTTTTCATAAGATAAGAGAATCTTCAGATACAGAACCAAAGGCAAGATCTGAACATGATCTCAATCATATTAAGACATCATTAAATAAACTACTCCTAGATACAGTTTCAGGAGTTAGTATTTGTAAGTTTTATAGAATAGGAAAAAAGGTGGATTCCGAAAGTCCTCAGAAAAACCGCCTCCTAAAGGTTACATTCAACATGGTGGAAGAAAGGGACCTGATTCTAAGTAATCCCCGAAAACTGGTTGGATCCGGAATATATTTCCGTGAGGATCTCAACCTAGCTGATCGTATTAAGAGACGAGCTGCAGAAGCGGAAATAAACGAGCGTCGCCGAAACGGTGAAAGAAACCTCGTTCTTAAGGGTTTTCAAATTGTAAAAGTTCGTAGCAAAACGATCCCCAAGCCACTCTGGGTGGCAAGGGAAAGCTCTACACAGACTTAAAAGTGTGCTACACAGATGCTCGCAGCCTACTAAATAAAATGGCGGAGCTCAAGTCACTGGTGGATAAAGAAAAACCGGACGTTATCGCTGTCTCGGAAACTTGGTTAACGTCAGAAGTATTAGATAGTGAAATCCAGTTGACTGTTTTTTTAACCAGAAGGGTCGATAGATTAAACCAAAGGGGAGGCGGGGTTATTGTGTACACGAAAAGTACCCTAACTATAAGGTTAGCTGAGACAGTAGCACATGTTTCAGGGACATGTGAACTGGTGAGATGTAAGTTGAAATGCCGAAGGCAAGATATTGAAGTAGTTGTAGTATATCACAGTCCAGAATGTGTAGCAGATGATTTTCTCCTAAGTAAACTTTAGTCCTGGTGTAACAACGGTAAAAGCCTTGTAGTAGGCGACTTTAATGCACCATATATAAACTGGGTTAACTTAGAAGTAGTGTCAACGATATCGTCGTTCGACTGCAAACTGTTAGAAACCTTGATTGGACTAGCATTATTCCAACACATTAGAGATCCCACAAGATACGACTTAAGAAACTCTTCTTCTCTTCTAGATTTAGTCTTCACACACGGTGATGACGTTGGTCAAATGGCTTTTCTCCCACCACTTGAGAGAAGTGACCATGCAGTCATCTTATTCAAATTCATGGCTGAAATTGCTTCTCAAACAATTGCGCCGGCCCGTCCTAACATATGGAAGGCAGATATGCAGGCAATTAACTCCGCAGCATCGGCTGAGAACTGGGAAATTGACTCAGAGGCATCAGTACAAGAGGCATGGACTCTATTCAGGCAGTTATACAATCGGGTAACTCAACCATACATACCCTGGACTGTCCCAAAGAAAAAGAGGCACGGACATCCCTGAATAGGGCGGGATATTCGACGCTTACTAAGAAAAAAGAAGAAATGCTGGGATGTTGCCATCCGCCTTGGTACTGCAGGTACGATGGAACGCTACAGATCGGTAAGAAACGAGTGTAAAACAAAATTTCGAGAAGCTCAAAGAAAATATGAAATGCAGCTGGTACAATCTGCACTCAAGCAGCCCAAGAGGATATTCTCGTACATAAACTACAGAACAAGGATGCATCATTGGATTCCCAACCTAATTAAAGTAGGAATTGAATCTGAAATGATAGAGGAAGATCAGGAAAAAGCAGAAGTTATGGCTGACTATTTTGGGGCAGTTTTCATTCAGGAACCTCCTCTAGAGAAAGAACCAGACTCAAATACAGAGTCAACAAACCAGCTGCTGACCGTGGACTTCGACCAAAACGATGTGCTTAAGGCTCTTAGCACCCTAAACATGGAGAAGTCAACAGGACCAGATGAACTACACCCCAAAATCTTGAGACATATTGCCCAATATATCGCAGCCCCACTGACTGTGATATTCAAAATGTTACTTGACCAACGTGTGTTACCTATGGACTGAAAGGACGCAATCGTCACTACCATACATAAAACAGGTCCAGGACAAGTTCCATCGAATTACAGACCCGTAAGCCTCACCAGTGTGGTAATTAAAATACTGGAAGAATAATCAAACGGACCATAACGGCATTTATGGAAACCAATAACTTGCTGAACATGGCACAACATGGTTTTAGAAAGGGTCTATCCTGTACAACGAACCTCCTTATAGCTAGGGAGCTCTGGATTAATGCGCTAGACAACAGAAACACAGTGGATGTTGTCTACATAGACTTCACTAAGGCTTTTGACAAGGTGCCAACTAATAGACTGCTATTGAAGTTGGCAAACCTTGGTACTGCCGGACCTCTTTTAAAATGGATTAAGGATTTCCTAGTAGGTCATAGGCAAAAAGTAAGAATAAATTCCAAGTGCTCCATCTGGAGACCAGTACTTAGTGGAGTACCCCAAGGTTCCGTCTTAGGTCCTTTACTTTTTATAATGTACGTTAATGATCTTACAAGTACAGTACAGTCTCCAATGTTATCATACGCTGACGATGTATAAATTTGGCGAGTAATAACTGGAGACAAAGACGCATTTACTCTTCAGGCAGACTTAAATAATATGATAAACTGGACTAAAGAGTGACTGATGCCTGTCAACTCCGAAAAGTGTGTCTACATGCACTTGAGGGATTCAAAGGTTAATACGTACAACATAGGGGATGTGTCATTACCATTAGTCCGGTCTCATAAGGATCTACGGGTGACAGTGAGTAGTGATCTTAAGACGACGGTCCATTGCCGGGAGGTCTCAGCCAAGGGGTTTCGAACCCTCTGGGCTTTAAAACGAACATTCACTAAGTTAGATACTACCATGTTCACCACAGTATACACATCCTTAGTGAGGACTAAGCTTGAGAACCGCGTTCAGGCTGCAAGCCCCTGTTTAAAAGGTGACTCGGATATCCTAGAAAAAGTACTGAGGACAGCTACCAGTGCAATTTCAGAACTCCGGGGTTTATCATACAAAGAGCGGCTTGAAAAGCTGGACCTCTTTACTCTGTCCTATCGCAGACTAAGGGGAGATCTAATTTTTATGTACAGAATACTGAGAAATGATTTTGGACCTAACTTATTCTCTCTCTTTCTTCCCACTAGATCGGGACACCTCAGAGGACATAGCAGGTGAGTAGAAAAGCCAAGAACGAACAAAATACCGGTGGCATACAGGTTTTCACACCGCATCATCAATACTTGGAACCTGCTGCCTGGAGTAGTGGTGTCCGCACCTTCAATTGACTCTTTCAAGAGAAGACTGGACACTAACAGAAGCATACTAGAAAAGGGATAACATAGGCCGTAGGCCTTCTGTCCTTACTACACAAATCTGAATCTGAATCTACCCGAATCGAATGTTTATGTTAATCAAATTATCATTACTCTTGTGATTAGCGTGTATTAACAGATTGAACTATGCTCACCCACTCTTTGCTGTTTCGATGAAGTTTCAGGTCTTACTAAATGTCTAATGGTTGGTTATTTAGCCACTCAACTGCCAATTCTAAAAAGTTTTGTAAATCTTGTAATTTGTTTGCGTTTGTCCAAATGATTTGCTATAAGTGGTGTGATAATCAATTGGTAAGTATGCCTTTGCTAAGACCCCTCTTGGAACTTTCCACTAAGTGGACAGTGGTTACTTATGCTCAAGGTGCAATCTAGATGGAAACATTTCTTAATGAGGATAAATGAAATCGTATGTGGGTTTTTGCTCTTAGGTATGTACATTTTCAGCGATTGAATCGAGAGGCATGATGACGTTCTGATGCAATATTTTAACTGGGGTTTTTCGGTGTGCCTAGTATGTTTTAAACAATTATCGAGGCAATGTTTTGTTCTCCTGAATCTCAGTAAAAATAACCCCATCTGTCAGGTTCTTTCTTCGTGAGGCTCGTACTGTAGTCCTTCCACCCTTTAGTAGACCATCTCTTCACTTGTTCTAAGAGATTTACGTGTTACTTGAAGAAATTCTACGAGTGCTTTCTGTAAATTGTGGGAAACAATCGTAAGGTGACTGCGGGTGGAACTTCTCGTAAGTCGAAAAATTATCCTTCTAAATGTATCGCATGGCCAGTTTCGTCTGT